TCAGCAAGGGGAATTGAGGTGGTGGGGGTCCCCAGCCCTCCTCTGTGGCTGCACCAGAAGCCACGTGCCAAGGGGTGATGATTTTGGCCAGCCCTGGGGATGTGGATGTTGCCCACACATCCCTCAAGGACATCCCAGCAAAGCATGAAGGTGATGCTCAGGAGAGCAGTGGGGATGCCCAGACACTGTGGGAAAGGCCAACATTCGGCACTTTCCAGAAGCACTGCTACATCCTGGGTCTGGCACACCTGAAATCCCGTGCCAGAGCGTCACCAGCACACAGCCATAGCTCAGGCCAAGGGCTTGTCATGGTTCCCAGCCACGTTATCAGAGGGATGGCAGAAAAGCTGCTGGGATGCTCCTGCAGCACAGAGGAGATGGACCCGAGGGCAGATAAGAGTCATTATGAGTACAGGAATAAACACCAGTCACAATTCCTCTTGGAAAAGGGAAGAAAATCAAATACCACAGTTTTTCTGCCAATACTCCCCATGCAAAGACGGGATGAGAAAAAAGTGAGGCATGAGTTTGTAGAAAGAAATGAAAATATTTCATTCACAATTTTTGCTGAAGGGTGGGGATGCAAAAATGTATCAATAAAAAGTAGCCCAAATGGGTTGGGAGTAGCCTCTTTTGGCCAAAAGAGGAGGAGGAGGAGGAAAAGGCTCTGCAGCTGTTGTTGCCTAGGGCAGTACTGAGGGCAGCCACTCAGTTCCAAAAGCAGAAACCTTGGGACCCTGTAGAGGTTTCCACAACAAAGAAAAGCACCTTGTGACAAGTCCCTCCAAGTCAAGCAGAGGGAAGAACCCACCTCACCCACTCCCAGTAATGGGTAAAGGGCTGGGTTTAACCCGAAGCACACACAAAGTTTATCCTTCAGCCTGATCCATGAGCATCAGAGCTAGGGCAGCACACACCTTGGGAGGGAAACACTAAATCACTTCTGAAACATCCCCTTCCTATGGGCTCTGCACCTCCATTTTCATAGACATGGATATGAAGATAATCAGCATTATTAACTGTTGCCCCAAAGCAGCAACAGCATAAAAACCCTGAAAAAATCAAATGGAAAAAGATTTTTTCTAGGATGAAAGCACAGGTCAAGCACTCAACAACACAGGAAGCTCAGCACCAGTCCCAGCCCCACCACATCCATCCCCAACACATCCACCCCGGGCTCCAGAGCAAAACAAACATTCAGGAAACAGTCAAAGGAAGAGAAGGAACTGGACAGAGAGCCCCAGTGCAACATTTGGCCTGACACCCAGTGCCTGGTACCTGGCTCACCTCTGGTGTGGCCACAAGCTCCTGCCAGGCATCCAGCCCTGGCCAAAAGGATCCAGCACCAAGCAGGAAGGTGTTAAAAGTGCCCAGTCCCAACCTCTGAGGAACCACAATAAATAACCTCTGAGTAAACACAGCGGCTGCTCCCCATTCGCCTTCCTGTTTGCTTTCGCAGATCCGGCCTGGGACGTCCACTTCCAGCTGCTGGCCCCGTCCCGTCCGAGCGCAGCAGAGCTCTGGCCGTGGCACCATGCTGGCACTGGCATCCTGCAGCCTCACGTCACGCCTGGGAACCGTCCCTGCCACAGGGGACTGTGGGCACAAGCTTCCCAAAGGGATTTATCCCCCGGGACAGGCTCTGATCCCGCATCTGAGCCCGTGCCTGCTGCCTTTTCCTTCCTGGTCCGTGTTTGTTTTGGTTCTAAAAAGAGGAAATCCCAGCTCACCCACTCCCCATCAGGGAGCCATGTCCCCCTCTGTGCCTCAGTTTCCCCCTCCAGCATGGGAGCCCCACATCACTCAGACCCCCCTCTCCCTCCCTCCCCACCCAGCCCTGGCACAAAAAAAAAGCAACGGGTCCTGATTTACGGGCACTTCTGTGCTTTACCACGAACACAAAGGAGAGGGAAAAACAACAAGCGGCAAACTCACAGGGAGGATCTGTGTCAGGAGCAGCAAGGGGGTCCGGGGCAGCCCCCCCGGCAGAGCAGTGCCGGGCACGGAGGCTGACAATAGATAAGGGGCTAAATTCGGCGCTGGGCTCCGGCCCCGGGCGCTGTAAGGCGATCGGGGTGGGGGAGAGCCGGGCTGTTTATTTGGCTCCAAACTCCGCACCGACACTGCAGCGTCACCCGTGTTTAAAATAGGAAGGAACGAAAAGAAGGAGGGGGGGGGAAAGAAATAGAAAATAAATAAAGAAATAAAAAAGGAGAAAAGTGCATGCACGCGTTGAACAATAACAACAAAATTAAAAAAAAAAAAAATAATCAAGAGAAAAGGAGCCGGGGGAGGGGGGGAAATAAAAGGAAACCCAGTTGGGCTGGCGAGGTTTAAAGCGACGCCTGCTTTAAAAAAAGAAGTTGCTAATTTTAACTCTCCAGTGGAAAGAGTGAGAGGTACTTACAGGAGACGGGGTGGCTGCGTCCTTCTCCAGAGCTGCTGCGCCGGGAGGAAGCGCAGGATGGAGCTGCCATCCCCGGCACCGCTGCCCAGGCCCCCGAGCCCCCCCAAAACCGCGATGGGGGCGCACGGCGGAGGCAGATGCGGAGGCAGGAGGGGGCGGTGGAGCCTGTGGGGGGAAGGGAGAGGCCGGAGCTGGCCAGAAGCAGAGCCCGGACTCGCTTCCCCGGAGGCCGGAGCCGGGGCTGGGACACGGGCAGCGCACGCCGCAGGACCCCCGGGAGGCGGCGGCCAGCTGCTGGGTCAGATGACATTTCTGCGCGGACCTTTCTGACCGAGCTGGCTTTTCCCCAAGGGAAAAGGGCTTTGAAGACAGTTTTTTTTCCCCGCCAGTGGTAAAATAGCGGATGAGCTCAGAACCCAAAGCGCAGGGCAGAGCCATGACCAGAGAAGGCCACCCGGCTCCACGGGGACTAGAAAGGTGACCTCCAGCAGCTCGGCCACATTTCAGCTGCGGCAAGCACAGCAGGAACCCACTGCTTTACCAAGTTCAGTATTCCATATCCAAAGGGGTCCAGAGTGGGGGTCTGGTTTCAGAGCACCCACTGGCTGGATTTTACAGGCTCTCCCTGGAGACCGGGAGGATCTTGGCAGATGCAAAGAGCCAGGTGAGGTGGCACACTCACACCTCGAGCACGGTGGGAGCCTGGAAGTTGCAAACTCCAGTTGCCAGTAAACATTCAAGAGAACACAGGCAAGGCCTCAGACAGCAGAGGAACAGATCTGGTGAGCCAAGGGCTCTTCCCAAGCAGCTGGAAATCAGCCTCAGGTTGCAAAAATCTCACCAGGACAGAAGCAGGGAGGCACAGACCCTGCATGCAGGGACGGACACATGATTTACCGAACATGGCAAGACGATGTGACCGTCTTCAGGACACGAAAGAGTCGATTCAATTAAGGTCACCGGCCCTAGAAGAGCCTTCTGTCACAGAAGAAGGTTTGCCTGGTTTGCCTCAAATGGGGCTGGCCTCAGACAAAATGCCTATTGATCGCAGGCAGCGATGCTGCACGTCCAGGACGCGAGGACGCGGCTTCACTGCGATTAAATCGCCCGGTGCCGGCCGTCACACGCTTCCGAGGCAGGGTCGATATTGCTCCTCTAATTGCTCAGCTCCTGTCACCAGCAGAGCGGAGGGGACAAGTCTTAAAGCAGTCCCCAGAGATGCTTTTCAAAATCCTCCTCCCCAAGAGCACCACTTGCTGAGCTGCTCCTTGGAGCGAGCAGTTCTGCAGTTGCAGAAATCACTAAATTGCTCCTCCCCGCTCACAACTCTGTGCTGGCACCAGTGGCAGTGCCAGGGCTTTGCAGGAGGACACTGCCAACCCAAAACCCAAGAACTTGTGGGAACTAAGAAACAAGGAGCCGTTGTCACTGGTCAGGACGGAGCTGGCAGAGCTGGGCAATCGTGTCCCAGCAGCAAGCAGGGATGTGGGGGAGAACGCAGCTGCTGAGAGATCCTGCCACCACCCACCAGCATCCGGGCTGGGGGAGCAAATGCATGCTGTCCATCGGGACCGTGGTGTTTGGGAGCCCCCATACACACCCCACAGCCATCACCCCAACACTCCCAGTAATCATTCACCACGCAGAAACACGTGCCCCTTAGTTATTCCTTTGTGCCCAGAGCAAGTGGATCAGAGCTGCTCCCACAGCAGCCCCCAGAACACTCCTGGAGCAGCCAACTCAGCTACAGCCGGATGGACCCAGCCGAGCCCTCCAACCCTCCTGTCCTCTGGAACGCCATGGCCCATCGCTGGCACACACCAAGCACCACTGAGACACAGCAGGGCCCTTCTGCTGCACTCCCCAGCCTGGGGAGCTGCTCTTGGTTTCCATCACCAGATGAAGCCCTTGGTGTTGACCTTGCAGAGGACGCTACCCCCATCTCCCACCACCAGGCCTCCAAATAAATTACCTGCTCCCTCTTCAGCACTAAAAGCCACCACAACCCCAGGAAACCGCTCACTAAGCAGTCATGACAGAGCCCCCTCCGTTCAGGAGCTGGGGGCATATTATTTTTAAGTCTTTCCTTCTATTGATTTAACTCTCAGGTACAGAAGATGCATTACATGAAATCATAGAGCCCTCATAAACCAGCCCGCGGTGGTGTCTGTACCACAACCTCACTGCAGACACAGGAGACACAAACATTTACTGGAAAAGCAATAAACAGGCCAAGAAGGTTGAAAAGGAAGAAAACCTGGACATGAGGCCCTCTCCCAGCAGCACCTTATTTCAGAGGAATGCAAGGGACAAAATAACAGCAGGTTTGGCCACAAGTCTTGTCCACACCAGGAGAAAAGAGGGCAGGAAAACCCTCCATTGCACTGATACATGGGGCTGTGTTGCAAAACACCCAAAAAGCCCCAAATCAGTGCTGTGGCTACAGCTGGGAGCCATCAGAGCTGTGCCAGATGGGGAAGTGAAGGGGAAGATGGGAGCCTCTGCTTGCTCCCAGCCTACAGCAGGGGAGACACACGTGGCCAAGCAAACCCAAAGGGAAGGCAGGACCCAGAGTTTGGGATTTCCCCCATACCTGCTACGCAGCCTCCTGCATCTTCTGCTCCTGCCAGGGATGAGCTGCAGCCACCGCTCCTCAATCCAACTGCAAAGACAATGCAAGCAGCCATCAGTCTGAGGGGAAAGAGGCAAGGACAGGACTCTCCACGTGTCCCATCCAAGCACAGCCAGATGGAGGGAACAGCGAGGGCAGCCCAGTATCCCCTGCAGACCTGGCTGATGGGACAGCCTGCACTGCCCTGATCACTAGCATCACTGCAAGGGCCATGCAGGCTGGGTGAGACCTGGCCAGGCACCTGCAGGGATCCAGGGAACCAGGAGCCCTGGGGCTAAGCAATGTGGAAAGCATCCCAGTGAGACCAGAGGGAAAGAAATTAAGAAGAGCTCAGTAGTAAAACAAATCATAAACCAAAAGTTAACATTAACAAGGGATATGGCCCGGGCCAACAGCACAGCCGGCAGAGAGCTGCTCAAAGTTTAGGTGAACTTTGTGTTTTCTGGAAAGATTCTCATGCACATCCCACAAGAAAAAGCACTGACCCGCTTGCTCAGACACTTTCCCAGGGAATGCACACAGCTCGTGTGCTCTACCTGAGGAGAAACTGCCATGGCCCAGAAGGAAACACAGCTCCTAAACTCATCCCACTCACCACTGGGAGATGGGAGGGGACCCATGGGGCAAAGCCCAGTGGCTTCAGCCAGCCTTGTGCCGGTCATCTACTGGTGGTCACAACCATCTGGCACTTGTGCAGAGCCCCATGAGAGGAACAGTGCTGAACAAAAGGGAAACTGAGGCACAGAGGCCAGCACCCACTGTTCAAACGCACCGCGAGCTCCCGAGCTGCAGCCTCACCCCCAGCACCTGCAACAGAGCGAGGAATTGTGCTCAGCTTTCCGGCGTCCTCATCCTCCGCTCCAACCACAAAACCAGCCTTCCTCCCCCGGCTGCCTCCCCTCCCACAGCCAGCTCATTTCCTGACATTACAAAATTCAGCCTGAACGAGGCTGGAGTGAGGAGCGCGTGGCTCCATCCAGGGCTGCACCTTCCTCTCGCTCCTGAGGAGCCGAGCGCAGGGGACACCCCTGAGCAGCTCTCCAGCCTCAAACCTCACAGCACCCGTGTGAAACCCCACAGGGCTGGGGTCCTGCTCTCAGGGACACCCTCATCAGGACAGACAGACGAGCCTGACTTCCACAACGGGGGAGCAGCAGGGACAAGGATGGGGGGCTCCAGCTACTGCCACACTTGCACCCATTATGCCCAGACCAACCTGTCACCTCCCCACCCAGAAGCACTCCTTTATTTCCCTGGATAAAACAATGTCCTTCACAATTGCGGAACACTTGGGGCCAGGGACACCCACAGCAGCAGCACCACCTTGCAAGTGCTCCCAGGCGGGACGAGGGAAGTGGTGATTAATGCAAAGGGTCTCTCAGTGGGCTCCTGAACCTCCTCTTGGTGTCCAAGCAGCTCTTGCTGGTCTCAGCACTGCAGTGCCTTGCAGGGCTGGTGGCAGAGCCACGTGGGCACTGGGGACCACAGGCTAGGCTGAGTGGAGGATGTGGCCAAGGTCTACACCCAGGCTGGCTCCTGCTTTGAGGGGCTTGGGGTCAGCTCTACAGCCCACTAGGATGCAATGGGGGACATGTGGCCAGGCAAGGCCTCATATGTGTGTAAGCAGAGCTGGTTTCTCTCAGTGGGAGACACCACTAGACAAGCCAGGAATGTCTGTTTCCACAGGCTGCAGGATGCCCACGGTGCCATGGGACAGCCGCACAGCCACCACTCACAGGCTCTTGTGCTGACAGCACTGCCTGTGGCTGGTGCTTGGCAGCTGTCCCTGGCTCCCACAGCCCACCAGGACAATGTCTGGACCACACCTGACCCCCGCAGCCTTTGGCCATGCCACAGTCCCCAGATCGTGACAACTAACAGCAGTGCCTCTGCAACCCAGTCTGGCAGAGGAGCTGCCCCTTGTCAGGCTGAGGTGGGGAGCTCCAGGGGGAGCAGGAGTGATCTGGGGGTGTTCAGCCTGCAGACAGCTCTGACACTGCAGGGCTGCAGCCTGGTGTCACCCAGGACAGGGACGATCAGCACACATGGGGTGACATGGCCCTGAGCCTCTCCAGCCCAACAGCTCCAGGGCTGCTTCACGCCCCACCCAAACTGCAGAAGCCACTGCCCTTTGGACCCGATGGCACATCCAGCACCAGCAAACCCCAGTGAACCCCCAAGTCCCCATTTTGCAACATTTTCAGCTGGTACAAAGGAGGAAAGCCCCCACTCAGTGGCACTGCCAGCTCCCTTGTCTTTCCATGCACGTCCTTTGCCCCGCCAAGCCAATATCCTGGCACTGCTCCCAGGAACTCTGGAGTATTTCAAAAGGTGACCAATCGACCTGCACAGTGAGAGCAAGGCCCTGGTGAGGGGCTGGGGCTGGATCAGGCCACTGGCCACCTCCAGGGCTCCTGGGTAGTTCCCAGCTCTCACCCCACCACATTTGTGCCTCCGAAGCTTTCTTGTTATAAACACAGAAATGCTGCCCAGGGAAGAGAGAAAGTATCATGTTTTCAAAATGTTCTGTTATTTTATAAGCTGTTCTTATAAGCTTTCTGTTATTTATATTATTTTATAATAATATTTTATATTATATGAGAAAAAAAACACATAGGGGAGGGATGAAGGTGGCAAAGTCAAGTGAATTCCCCTTTCAAAGTGAAAAAAGAAGGGGAGAGAAAGGGGTAAAGACAAGACAATCTTTATGTCCAGCTTTGGGGCAGAAATGCTGAGCAGGTGCTAACACTGCTGCTATTTGAAAACCAAAGCTTTGGTTTCACCAAGTAACAAACCAAAATTCCTGAGGGCAGGAGAATGAGGGGAACCTCCTGGGACCCCCATTTCTAACTGACGCTGTTGGGCTGGCACAACCTGCCTAAGGCAAAGGCAGCAGATGCTGGGAATTGCTCCAACCTGCCCATAAAGATTCTGGAGAATGTGCAGGATTGGCTTTTGGTGACTTCCCTGGATATCTGTTCAGTTGATGCTTAGCAGCCCCTGTGCCACAACCAGTCTTTGCTTACACCCTCAAACACATATATATTCCCACATATATAACTCCCCTAAAATATATATTCCCATACACATAGCCCTCTCAAAATACACATATTCCCAGAGATGTAACCTACCAAATACATATATATATTCCCATATGTATTGATAAACCCCAAGTATATATTCCCACTTATTTAAATCCCAAATATATACAACCCCTGCCTACATCACATATACATATAATACCCCCAAATAAATAATCCATGGCTGCTGCCATGGAGACTTCCAAGCACACAGCTGGAAAGTCAAGGGGAGATGGATGGGCAGAATAACCAGCTTTGGAGCTGGAGAGACCAAGAAGGAGGCGCAGATTGCGGAGGGGAAGAGTTGTGACCACAATCTCTCCTTCCTCTTTTTTCATGTTTCCTCTAGCAACGAGCTCAGGACTGCAAACATTTGGATGACAAACCCAAACTTCCCCACCTCAGGCTCCCAACACAACCCTCCACTCCTCTTCCAGGTGCTCATGAATTCCTGCCCCAAACCCCATTTCCCAGAGCTCTGCCACGTCACTCTCAGGGAGTCCCAACAACAGCAAGGAGCAGACAAGATTTTAAAAAAGAAAAAAAAAAGTACTTTCTCCATTTTTCTCCATTTCCCCAGCCCACGAAACTAAAGCATCTCAGCCATGGCACAGCCTTCAGTTTGCACCAGTCACTGGGAATATCCACAGAGTTTAATTAGACCTGTTAAGCCTTTTCAGTTGGCAGTCCTCTGGCTTGACACCAAGAGGTGAGGAGAAAACAAACTGGGAGAGATCTCACTCCAAGCAGGAGCATCAGGCAGGACAGGCTGAAGGAACCCCAGCTCCCAGTCATCCAGTGGTGCCAGAGTCACAGCAGCACAACACCTGGGGCTGTGGGAAGGGGCACAGGTGGGCGGCAGGAGGAGGAAATCCACCTCCAGTGGCACAGGAGGCTTGAGCAATGACCAAGGAGCTGGTCACAGGCCAGCTGTGCCAGGGGCACATGCAATGGGCAACATGCAGGGTGTGACCGCCAGCACTGGAGCTCCTCCAAACGCCACATGGGGTTGGGCTGAAGGTACCCCAGACCCAGGGTAGGAATTGTGGGGCTCACACCCTGCTCCACCAGGTCACCTCACAAGGGTCCCAGGGTAGGAATTGTGGGGCTCACACCCTGCTCCACCAGGTCACCTCACAAGGGTCCCAGCACGGGACTGAGTCCAGCCCCTGGATTTGGGCAGGGGAGCTGGAAGGCACTCTCCGTGTTGGCTGAGCCACGCTCCAGGGAAGGTCAGAGCACCACAGCTGTCGCTGCAAGTGTTGCAACAGCAGCTGCTGGCCCTGCCAGGACCTAGGGGACATGGGGGGTGTCGGGGGGGCAGCACAAGTGCAACCGTTGGAGCCACCGAGTTTCACTCTCGCTGGCTGAGTTCCCCTTGGGCAGCAGAGATGCAGAACTGAAACCTCCAGCTGTATGGACGTGGGGGCGGCTGGAGCTGCAGGAGGGCTGGGGACCGGCACGGCTTTCGGAGCAAAGCCACGCACCACCACACCAGTGACCAAGGACTGCTGGGGGACCAGGGGAAGCAAAAGATGAGAGGCAGACAGGGGTTTCCTCTGGCTCACAGCACCCATCTTGCTTCTGCCCTCTCTGCACAGCCAGGCCACCCATCTCCTTGTACCCAGCACATCTGGTGGGAGCAGAAATATCCCTGGGCATGCAGGTACCTACACCTGCCATGTTCCACCAGCCTATCCAGGGGCTCACACTGCTGCAGGACACTGCAATCCCAGTCCATTGGGCAAGTGCTGGTCAGCAGGACCATGACTGCCTGCATGGAGTGGTCCCAGCACCTCCTAGCACAGGGAAACTGAGGCACAGAGAGGGTAAGTAAACCACAGAGCTGGACACACAAGCACTCCCCCAAACTCCAGTTTCCTCCCCCCAAGCAAGCCACTCACCTCCCTCCTTGTCCCAGCCCGCTGAAAAAAGGAACAGCCCAAAACTCTCCCCAGAACCCCCAGGGACATAATGGGGGCTCCCATGAGAGCACAGGGACACCAAGATGTGGGAGCACCCAGTGCTTGCCCTCCTCACCCCAGCCACAGTGACAATGCTTCACGCCACATTGCCACCTGCTGGCACCAGCCCTGGGGGGGCCTTCCTTGGGGGGACAGCAAGTGGCTCTGTACTGGGTATCAGGTCTGGGTCCAGGTCCAATGGGCCACTGCCACATCCAATTGGAGCAGCCACTGCTCACTTTCCTGAACTGATTTTATCCTACTTCACGGCAACCTGGGACCCTGCACATGCAACCCAAACCCATCCTAGAGGTGCTGAGAGGTGCCCCCACCCTGCTCACACCCCCCATACCCTCTGGAGCACCAGGTGAAAGTGCTGCTCTAGAGGTGCAGGAGACCTCACAGCAGCAGTGACAGCTGCTCCAGATCTGCATTTCCAGCTCCTGCTGGCATTTCCAAGGCAGAGGTAAAGCAGAGATGGCAGCATCATCTGTTTTGCCCCACAGCTTCCCCACAAACTCTTCCTGATGCCCCAACAACCTCTCCTGTCTGTTGCTGCCTCTCCCCAGAGACCACAGATCCAACTCTCACGTGTCTCTCAGGCCTGCTCTCCCTTCTGTCTAATGGGGGGACCGATCCTCTGCCACTGCTCCTCAGCCATCCGTGCATCCAGCCACCCCCATTTCCCACCCACACAAACCCCACACAAGGCATGGGGGAGTGGAAATCCTACCTGCACACATGCTGACACACACCAGCTGTTCATCCCCGACACTCCGTGGCCACTGACCAACACAACAGCCCATGGGTTATCCACGAGCCAGAGGAAAATCAACAGGGAGTGTGGTTCTTCAACACACACACCTAGAGCTGCCACTGGCCCCACAGGGCAGCAGGTCTGGGAGGCCCTGGCACAACGAGCAGGTGGATGATGTTAGAAAGGACCCCACCCACAATCTCATCCCAGCACACCTGTACACACATCAGCACCAGCCTGGCCTCATCACAGGCAGGGTTCAGGTGTTTGCAGCACTGATGTGGATCCATGGAAGGCACCAGGAGCTGCCATGTGGATGCCCAGCAAAGCACACGGGGCCCTGGCAAGCAGGTGCCAGCTCCTCTCACCTCCTGCTTTGGGAAGGATCCTGCATTGGGCAGGTTTTCAAGGACCCCACAGGACCTGCCCCAGGCAGACACAGCACTTCTCCCTCCCAGAGCCCTTCTGGGTGTCTCCACCCCTGCTGGCATTGGGGCCAGCTCAGCCCCAGGTCTGCCTCTACCAGACAGGTCCAAACTCCAGGGCAGTGGGTGAGGTGTGGCTGAGTGGCGTGTGCTGAGCCAGGTGGGACAGAGCACGGGAGACAATCACCATCAAAGGCAGAAGGAGGAGGTGGCCATGTGAGGTAGAGGGATCAGGCAAACCTCCAGCTGCCCCTTGCTGTTGTCCCCCACTCCAGGGAATGGGGACAGGTCCTGGCCCAGCCCTGCAGCCCTTGCTGGAAGCTGAGAGCTTTTTTTAAACTTGTTTATAAGGGCAACTCACAAACAAGAAAAGAGAGCTCTTTGTGGGGAGGAGAGGGGCTCCATGGTCAGATACCAGCATCTGGGAGACTCACACTTAATTCTGGGTTGTGCTACGGCCCCTCCAGTGTGTCTGGAGTGGAGCTAGCCATGGCCAGGGCTGTTGCCTTCAACAACCCCTCCTACCCAGCCCAGCAGTGCCAGCCATCAACAGCAGCACCACCAGACAAACCCCTGCAAGCGGCTGGAAATTCACCTGGCACAGACACGACCTGAGCCAGAGCCAGGGCTGCTTGGCCTTGGGGAGCAGAAAGGGTGTTCACCCCATAGCCAGCTGCAAACCCTGACCCCTCACACAAACTCGGAGTCCTGTGGCTGAGCACAGCTCGTCACTGGCTGCAAAGGCAGGGCTGCATCCAGAAAAGCAGGTGTCACATCCTGATGGAGCAAGGCTTTGCCAGCCAGCTGCCTCTGAAAACCCAGCAGGGGAAAACCCCGAGCCAGAGACAAAATCATCCTTGGGGTTACCCAAATCTCCCAGTTCAAGCCCCAGCCTCCTTTGCATCCTTGGCAAATCTCTGTGGGCAGGGTGCCTACTCCCCAAACTTCAGTTCTACTATTTAAAACAAAACAAAAAACAACAACAACAACAAAAAAAAAAGATTAAAACATTTCTCCCCAGTGAGGTGCAGAAAAGCACTCGCACATTTGGTGCCGTCGTCAGCAACTCCTACACCACCCCCCACGTACACCGTTGCAAGGGGGCACAGAAGGGGGTTTATAGGCACCTACAGAGAAAAAATAAGATTTCTGCATAATTTGGTTAATCAGTCCACTGAACAGCATGAATCCATAGGAGAATGTCCTGTGCTCACCAAACAATTCAATCCCCCGTGGGGCAACAAAACCTCAGTGGCCGGTGCAAGCATCACCTCCCTAACAGAACCACTGGAGTGACCCCTGGAAAAGTTCCAAATCCCAAATATCAGTCCCAGTTTGAACGTACTGGCAACAGCAAATGCATAAAAAAGGGCTTTATCAAGTCTTGGAATCACCAGAGAAACTTGTAGTGCTGTCAAAGGGAACCCAGCAGAAGCCCGTGGACCTCAGCATCCTGAACACTTCCTCCCCTCCAAACCCTTCAGTCACCAAAATAAAATGGGAAGGGAAGGGAAGGGAAGGGAAGGGAAGGGAAGGGAAGGGAAGGGAAGGGCTTACTGGCCCAGAAGCCAATTACAACAAATGGAAAGTGTTTTGCTTTTTAATCTTGTAATTTTTTTAGCCTAATCTCTCCTCTGGAAAGGGACGATCAGCTCAGCAGCAGGATGCTGCCAGGGGGATACAGCACGTGTGGAATCCTGGCTGGAACAGAAACTCAAGTCCTTGCTCTCCAATCCTGTCCTTTTTGGGTGGATTTATCCTATTTTTTTCTCAGAATAACTGTACAGGGGAAAAGAAACAATAGCAAAACTTTGGGAAACTTCTGAATTTTTCTGTGTTTCTGTCTCTCTTTTCTGAAATAAAGGAGTTTTCTCTTTTCAAAGGACTCTTTTCACTTTGATATTTTCACCAGTTTGCACAGGAGGGTTTGGAGATGGGAAAACCCTCCCCAGCTGCTGCAGACCCTTCTGCTTCTGTGGGCTTTGCCCTCCTTGGGAGAAAAGCCAAGTCCTGTTCCTCACCTGCCCAGAGATATGTAATCACAGAATTACAGAATCATTTCAGTTGGAAAAGACCTTTAAGGTCATCAAGATGATCCTTTTCCTTCTGCAAAGGAAGTTCCATTCTGGGGAAGTTCATATGAACAAGAAGTTTTAGAAGTGAAAAGGACCACACACACCCAAAAATGGGTTTGTTTCCTTCTCCAGCCCTGGGCAAGACCTTGACAGGATCCAGCAGAAGGGGAAAACCAGACCCATCACTACAGAATGCAGGATTCTCCTCACCTGCCACCACACCGGAGCTGGGAACCAGCTGGAACCTCTTCAGCAATCCAGACTCTCCCAAGCACATGGAGAGCCAGAGGAGGGAGGAGGCCGTTGGATGCCATCCCCAGAGCCCATAAATTACAGCAGGGAACAGAGTTGCATTTGCCCTATTTCTTATCTGCTTGGAAATTGCGCTGCTTTCCCAGCTGCAAAGACAGCTCTGTTCCCAAGAATTTCAGTAAAGCCATGACCTCTTTCCAGGACCGTACAGTATATGGTGGCGGGGAGCCAGGGCTAATTATAGGCACAGGAAAAGGGGAGAGAGGCATTTGGAAAAGCTCTACCTTCCCAGCCACGGGGAGCAGGGCAGCACAGCCACAGCCAAGCCCCTGCTGGGAGCACCCCAAAGGGCTGCAAAACCCAAGGAAGGAGAGCAAATCCCAGGGATACAGCCCTCCTGGACTACACTATCCTCATTCTCTGGAAAGATGAAAGACAGCATAAATCTCATCCCACAGTACTTCACGATTCCAAAGCGCTCTGGGAAGCCCCACAGCGGGACCCCCCTGCCCCGGCACAGGTCGAGTGTCGGAACACCGCCCTGGGCACGACAAGAACCAGAGTCTGTCAGTCCTACAGCCAGGATCTGAGCAGCTTGGGTTCCCAGCAGAGACCCCATCTCCCAAAGGTGAACGATGCCACAAGCCCCTCACTGTGCCCTTGTGCCCCAGCACTGCCCAAAAGCACGACCTGCAGAGATGCTCCCCAACCCGGAGGCAAATGAACGTGCGTTAATTTAAACGCCAGCCAAGGCTCTCGGGCAAAGCCACGTGCAGGCTTAGAGCTGAGTTCATTGTCTCTTGCTGAGCAATGTCACAGGAGCCACCTCCCTCCCCTGACCCGCTGCAGAAGTGGACAAGGACATGGTGACACATGTGCCCACGAGACCTGCCGGCAGGGAGGAGGCTGGGCAGGAAAGCACAGAACAGGCAGCAACTCTTTTAACCACCAGGCTCCTCCTCAGAGCCACGTTTCTGCACAAAACAAAACCTGAAGAAGGTAAAAAATCCCACCTAATGTTTTCTTTGAGGAAGGAAAAAGAAAAGCCAGGAACCTTCTCGCTTGCCGCAATGGTTTTCATTTTCCACCAAATTAACTCGAGTCTCGACTGTGACTGCCGGCAGATTCCCCTCCCTGCCTGCGCTGCCGTGTGTGCCTGCGCATGTGGGAATGTGTGGGTGTGTGGGTTTTGTTTTGCTTTCTGCACCGGCTCTGCAGACCATCTCCTGCTCTTACCCATTCCAGCCCCATTACCTGCCAGGGTGGACATCCCATTTCTCTGGCTATAGCCCTGTGCAGGGCCACTCTCCTCCTGCAAGAACTTCCCAAAACGTGGCCTGCAGGTATCCCAGCCCCCGGGGTGCTGCAGGGCTGTTGCCAATGCCAGTCACTCCGAGAGGGTCCCTGTGTGCCATGGCTGGGTGCTACAGAGACAGGGGACAGGGGCCTGGCAGCACCAAGCAGGGCACCAGCACAGCCTCCCAACACCTCTCACTAAAGGAAGGAATCCACCCCCGTATGCCAGGTCCAGCTGATGCCCTTTCCCAACGCTCCTGTGGCAGCAGGAAGGGGATCAGTGCACATCAAGTCTGCCCTGCTCCTGGTGAGACCCTAGGGATCACCTCCTGCCAGCTTGCTGGATAATAACCCCAGCTAAAACCCAGCCCCAGTGCTGCAGGCGCTCCCAGAAACACTTCAAAGACTGACCAAGCCTTGGAACAAACCAAAACCAGCACATGACACCCCCCATCCCCAGCTCCAACGCTCCCCATGGGCAGGCACATCAAGGAAGGCAAACAGAAACAACTTCCCCACAGCTCACACCAAAGACCCCGGCACCACCAGCACCCCTCCAGCAGCAGCAGCAGCACTGACACCATCCCCACAGAGCTGAGCCCACCTCGCTGGCACTGCTGGCACATCCCGGGGCAGCACGTGGCCCCACAGCCCCTTGCCATCGGCTCCGCGGGCGCCGCCACGCACGGCTCAGCCCTAACGGGATAACAAGCTCACAATGAGATCCTAATGAAGGATTAGCGAAATACAGTTTAAAGAGATTAAGGCTGGGTGCAGCACTGAAACTTTTTTATTTATTTAATATTTTCCTGAGAGCCCAGTGGAGGTGAGACACAGATTACAGACAGCAAGGGTAGAGCTGGCATTCGCTGCTGGCTCCAGCAACTCAGGATGGTTTTTGCATCGCATTCGTGCAAAGAGGGGCCAGGGCTGTAAAAAGGATGGAGAAACACACAAAAAATGGCTCGTGGCGCCTGCAAACCCTGCCCAAGGCGCTCCACAGCCAGCCAGAGGCTTCCTTCATCTCTCTCCTCCCACACCAGTCCCTTCCCATCTGCATCCCAGCTGCGCCCGATGCTC